TTGCTGGACGTCTTTGGTGAAAAGAAGAAAAAAAAATTTCTCTGAAAGTGAACCACATTATTTTCTTCCATTTATTTAATTTTGGCCATAGATTCAACTGTGGTATGATGTTCCAATTGACTAGGAGTAAATGCTTTAAGTTGCATGTCTTGACTCTAAACAGAGGATGTGATTCCGGTTGATCAGGCGTGCACAAACAGGTAGCTCCTTTGCGTTCTCGTCCGTACTGTACACCACTTGTCAGTTTTGTTACCACTAAGATGCTGAGCTTCAGAAGGCTGGAGCTGTTGCATGGCTGTTGCAGTGGATTGCATTTCCTTGTACAATTATTCAGGATATTTTCCTCTATAGCATGTTTCAGAGCAGCTCCAAGTCTAATCGCTCATGGTTAAAACAAAAACTGCCTAAAGGGCCTTTCAGACAGTATCCAGCTTAGTCTACTGTAGACTCTTTAGAGTCCAAACAAAGTCATCAGATGAGGAGGCAATCGGCACTGGCTTGTGCACCCAGCATACACTTGCATGTCAGTGTACTGATACATAAGGGAGTTTGATTATTATATGTCAATGCATGGGTGGAATATAAAAATGAATTGTGATCCCACTCTAAGACGATCTTCAGTGCATAACAATTGGAAGAAATTCAAAATTATGAGCTAAGTTAGAAAGAGCCTGTCTCATAACAGTCCCGAGCGCCTGTCTCAGAACTGTCCCGTCTTGGACTGTCTCATCTGTGTCTCCCACTCTGAACAATGCTCCCTACACCATGAGGGGGTACACACTAAAGCACAGCACGGCGCAGCTCCAAATGGACATGTCCCTAATTTTTATGCTAATCCCTGCTTCCAATCACATTTAATATAAAAAGATATTAAATAAATAAAGAGCTTAATCCACTGATAAAGACGTCTTATCCTGGTGACAAGTCTGCACAAGGCTTTACACTGTTTGAGCAGAAACATGACAACACTCTTAAAACACTGCTGAAACTTTGATTTGTACAAGATGCCACTCGATATGATTGCGTCTCTGTGTGTATTACATTTTTTCAGTCTGTATTCACTCGCATATGCATACTGCGACTCTTTCTATTTTATTTTATCGTTTGTTTGTTTTTTAAAAGAAAACTCTTTACCACATATATCCCAAAACTTAGAAAACAGTTACATAATATTTAGCTTTTGGTTTTGAACAAAATTATTCATGAAATTCAATTTAAAATAGCATGAATGCTGTGACTACACTAAAATGATCAATGTACTAAAAGTTGTTTCAGTTTCTGGTGTAATTTAAGAAATTATAAAAGAATGTGCTGTAGAAAAATGAGATAACGAGATCAAGCTCTTTGCATATAAATGTACACAGATGACAGGACCTCATCTGCTGCCCTGTAAATGCATTTGAAACAGTTTTCTGAAAAGTTAGTATTTGGGTCAAGTTAGTTAATAGCATTGTTATCATTCAGCCTCTATAATAAAAGTGCAACGCTGGGACAATAATATCTGCATCTCCACTTGGAGCATGACCCCGCCCCCTTTATATTGTTCATTAATCCTCTTAAACTCCAACAATGATTAATTGTACCAAATAAAACCTTGGATTAAATACTGTATCATAAATGACGTACAGGAATTAAAAAGACTCAAATTAAGATGGCAGAAGCTGAAGATATAAAAAAAGAAAATTGTACAAAAGAGAGTTCTGGAACAAGAGCAGAATGTTCTAAGAAATTGTACTGTACAGAAATTTTGCAGTCCAAGTCACAAGTTATACTCAAGTCCTTATTGGTCGAGTGCAAGTTACTTTGAAACTGGATTTGGATACTAAGGAATAGATTATAGATAAGAAACTTGATATCGATACCGATACCACAATGATCATAAAAAACATATTTCTTAAGATAATAGATTGTAATTTTCAACATTAAATTGTATTACTTTCTTTAATTTTACAATGTGGCCTTATATCTGTATAATCCCTCAATCATCCAGGTTGTCCCATTGTGGTGCATGGGCATATACTTTTTTATGTGATTTTATACTTGTTCTGATACAGTTTGAGCTACTGCAACAAAATGTATATTGAAAATTATTACTAAAGTATGTCTAATCTCATTTTAAGTCTATACAATTATGATTATAGATGAACTGAATAATCTTGACATCCCTACCGCAGACCAGGACCACCCCGTAAGAAGTCCAGTTTTGGAAATGCTCAATAATACAAAATAGAGTTGGCTTCTCCATACAGGTGTACACTTGGAAAAACAGATATTCCGTTTTGGAGTTGGTCTCAGGGGGTCGAAGCTACAGGTTTAGATAATGCTCTCATTACGAAACATACAGCAGATGAGACAGAACCCACTTTTAGCACACACTGTTCACTGGAGTAGGCACTAAATCATCATTACCAGCGTTTTGCAATATTAAAGATACAGAAAGAGGAACAGCAGGCACAGAACAGTAGTCTTTTCTTAGATTCAGATGGGGACTTTGAAGCAGTTTTGGCTGGTTATGGAGGTACAATTGATTTTGTCATTCTATAGAAGGTATAGGAACAGAAAGAGGCATGTCAGCACACTTCATAGCTGTGGGTTTTAGGGTTGTCAAAATTCAAGTATTGAAAATCAGATACTAACTGATATTAAAACTGGTATTGAGACTAGATATGCATTTGAACAACTATCAATACTAAAAAACATCACATTCACAGGACAGAAATTTATCTTCCCTGTATTATTATTATTAAAATGTTTCCTTAAAAGTCTTAAAATGATTTTGAGAATAAGAATAAGACCACATAGTGTACTCCCATGGACCACTACAGAACCTACCTGGACAACTGAGGGATTACACAGATATAGGGATGTAAACAATAACCAAAATATCATGATATTGTATCGTCAAAAGTCTCACAATAATATCGTGGACTGTCACAATATATTGAATTACAAGTTCCTTTGCTTAAATGCATGGTTTTACAGTAGCAACCGCTTATAAACATCGGGAACTACATATCCCATGATTCATTTCAGCGTAGACAACATTAAAGAGATGTTTTTTTCTTAAATTCTTGGGATTACGATGGAAATAATTCACACAAAAATCTTGTCAAGGTATTTTTAAAAGCAGAAACGTGTCCTGTCTACAATTATATTAGCCTCTCCAAAATAGCACAATAAATATCGTACCGTGAGATGCATATTTTGATAATATTGTACCGAGAGATTTGGATACAGATATAAAACCACACGGTAACATAAAAGAAAGTAATCTTAAATGTTGAAAATTACATTCTCTTGTCTAAACAAAGAGTGTTTTTTTGTTATTGTGGCATCGGTATTGAGTATCAAGTCTGTTCCTTAGTATGGAAATTGAGTTTAAGTATAATTGCAGTAGTTAGCAGTACCACTAATGGGTTTATTATTGTCATTCTTATCAAATCAAACTTTATTTATAGAGTGCTTTTCATACAAAAATGCAACACGAAGCGCAAAGCTATATGGTTTTCAAAATAGGTGAATAAGTTTGTCTAAAAACATGAAAATTAAATACATTGATAAAAAGTGTATTTCAGTCTAACTGTCCACTGTAGGGAGTAAAACCAGAAAAATATAATTCTAGAGATCACTGAGGTGAGATAGCGTAAGTGTAGCATGGATAATTGTACGTTCAAAGCCACTAGTGAGTGACTCAACATTTTAATTCTAAATACTCAATAAATGTTAACAGAGCTAACCCCTAACACATTACAGTACGGATGCTAAATTTCAGACACCAACAGAGGGCAAATCCAAATTTGAAAAACACCATTAGAGGCACATAACTGCACAAAACCACCATTAAAAAAAGCTTGAATTATTTCCCCACAGACTGAAACGGCAGACTTGCACCTTCCTGGTTTCTCACTCGTCACCACCACAAACCGTTTTAAGCAGTAGACATGCAAAAATGCTGCCCCACAATACAACAGGAATCACCGAAGCAACAAGGCCCAGGCTGAAACACAAACACTCTCAACAGGTTTTTGAGATGTGAAAAATATTACGCAACCAAGAAAAAAAACAGAATTGCATTATTTATTACTATTATATATAACATTTAACTATAAGTGTTATATCTTATTTGTAACCTTAAGTGCATAACATGTTTTAGTTTGAACTGTTTGAGCTGCACCGTGATAGATAAATTGTTTGGGATAGCCTCAGGCAGTTGCTACTACATAGATTATAGATTTTATCAGATTTTGCTCCTTTTTAGACAAAAATAAATGTCTTTCGTCCATTAGTTTATACATGGTTCTTGCTCAACAAAAGCATTGCACTGCACGGTGAACAGAACATTTCCCAGAACCAGAAGAAACAAAAATCTGCTACAGCTTTTGATGGTCAGTTGCTATAGTAACCACCATACCGATTAAATAATATACGTTCAAGTGCGCTCTATTGTTCTATTGTTATTAAAATGTATAGTGGATATAGGAAATCTTCCAGCAGCAATATTAGGGATACAATTATTTTTATTTGAAAGGCAATTGAAATTATTCCAAATCTAAATGAATAAACAATAATCATGATGTATGCAAGCTCCAAAATATGTGCAGTAGTTGTTAAATCAAGTTGTACTGTATGCGCCTTTTATGGGTTGATGAAATTTTACCCACAACCACAAAGGGTATCTTAACATAAATGCATGTATGATTTAACCTTAGATTATGAAAAACATTTGTCCAATACAGTTTTGTTTTAATTATTTTCAATTAAACATAATGGGCTTTAGGCTAAAAATAATGCAAAATCATTGTATTAATGGATATGGGCCACACTGAGGATTCCTGAAGATATGTCAGCTGGTTTATATATCGCAGGCATTTTATGAAAAGTGTGTACTAACTGTATCCAGACAATACCTGGTCTGTTTCTGTGCTCCACATGTTTCCTTCTACATTTGTGTAAAATGATTATCTCTTCCCTCAGGCCTCTGTTGTGGTTTATGTGCTTACCTTCTGCTGGCGGTTTGTAGGGGTTAAACTTGGGTTTTGGGGCGACCACAGGGGCAAACTTCTTAGGTGACTGCTGTTGGGAAACGGAGATACTGGCACTGCCGATAGGGGGCGTGGTCTCCATCCTGGCAGAAACTTGGGCTGGCTGGTCTCCCTGGTTCCACATGGTTCTAATAACGACAAATTAACAACAGCCAATGATCAACAAGGATGTTTCACAACAGCATATTAAACATAATATTCTTTTATTTTCAGTATGGGGGGGGACTTCCTGCAGTGGAAACTATTATACCTGTTAACTGGAAAAATAACAAAGGGCTCACATGGTCTTCACAAGAACAACTAAGCAATAACCTATACACAGGTATTTTGTTGGTACATGCACCATACTGAGAGAGCTTCAACTTCAGTATTACACAAACAACAGAAGAATGGAGAATAAACAGGACTTGACCTCTGTTTAAGAAACTTCAATTGGAACACAAAACAGGAACAGACACTGCGGCATGGTAATCATGCTGAATAATGCAGATGCAAGGATATTACATATGGACACAAATGGGCAAGATTTGAGGACCAAGCACAAACAGTATTACTCTTTGAGGACAATGAGCTACATCCTTTTTTTTTGATGATATTATAATTACCTCCGCCAAGGAAGGTTATGTTTTTGCTGGCATTTGTCTGTTTGTTTGTTTGTCTGTTAGCAACATAACTCAAAAAGTTATGGACCGATTTTGATGACATTTTCAGGATTTGTTGGAAATGTGAAAAGGAAGAACTGATTTCATTTTGGGGGTGATCTGGAAGAAATCCTGGATTCTGGATCACTTTGAAATTTTAGTTAACATTGTGGTAAATGGGGCCAAAAATTTGGTTTCTCAATATCTCAGTTAATTATTGACCAAACCCCATGAAATTTGACTCAGGGATGGACAATGGGATCCTCTTTCATATTCCAAAGGCTGATCCGGATCTGATCCAGAAGACTGATTTTATCGCAATTTATATAAAAAATGGGGGTAGTCCTTGGCGGAGGTCTGCGCTCTCTGAGTGCTTTTCTAGTTCCTTTTTTTATTCCTCCATCTTAGTATATCATAGGTTGAAGCTGCAATGACCTAATTATGGGCTTACAGTCAAGTACACTGCGTAAAACATACAGTGCTTAATTAACGTGATAGTATGTCTATTTTCTGGGGGTGAAGACGCTGACTGCAAGATTCCATGAAAATAGAAATTAAAATCATACTTTGGAACATTCTCTATGAAGAGAGACAAGTTTTACGCAACACTGTGGAATATTATACCCAAATGAACAACATTTCCAAAGAAACAAGCAGGTGCAGGCGCTCATTTCAAATAAGAGTCAGGTCTGTGGAGATACAAGCCTGTTGACAATAAGAATGCAGTTTTCCCGTGCAATACAACAATCCTAATGAAAAACATGTCTTTATTTCAGTATATGTTTTGGCAAAAAAAAAAACATACTGCATACTGGGGCTTTAAATTGTGCCATATATACAAGGTCTTACTGTTTTCAAAAACATTTCAAAAACGACTGTATTTTTTAAGTGAAAACATCAAACTCCACAAAAGACAGTGATCTGACCTCTGTTACTGTCAAATTGAATGTTGCAACCCCGACGTAATACTTATAATCTTGAACCGGGTCAGTGTTTTGTACTTGATATGAACTCCTCTCTTTTTTAATTGATCCAGTTGATATGAGCTGTTGTTTGGCAGTGAAGACATCTTTCCCTGACAGCTCATTCATTATAACCCGCGTGCTACTTTTCATATGTCTCCAATGCAGGAACGGTGAACGTGGCCGCGTTAGAAAAGTTGGCTCTATCTGAGGACACGAGGAGCCAGGATTTCACCAGCGAACGCATCCTCCTGAAATGATTTGAAACATTTGAACTATTCACGGTTTCCATTTCTCTTGTCTTTGTTTGTTGTTCTTTTGCTATGATGTTTATGTCTGAGTGATACCCGGTGTACACTCTTTCACCCACGCACAATTGTATTTTAATATTGTCGGAAACGCGCACTCCTCCTGTGCGCTTTTTACTTTGGTTTGTTAATGCTACAATTCCAAAAGCTGTACCGCTACCACGCACACCCACCTGTCCTCCATGTATCTCTGGGTTCTTTCATTTCTACACACAAGCACAAATGGCTTACAAGGGAGAAGAAAAGAAGTAGTTGAAAAGGAGAGCGGGGAGCGGCAGTGATCTTAGCGTGTAGACGGCACACACGTGTTGAATAATGGAGTGATTGAAGGAGGCAAATCATTCTCAGCAGGAAGGCACTACAGCCAGGGAGTGAACGCGATGAGGTTCACGTTGGGTAAGATATGACGTCCACTTTGTTTGTAAACTCTGGAAAAACACGCAAGATACAGATAAATATTTGAACAATGTATAAAAGAAGTTTGCGTAAAAGTTTAAATGTAAGAAATGCAATGCAAAACTATCAAAAAATTATTACAATCAAGAAAAGACTAAAGCAATACCATAAGGTTCTGAACTAATACTTCAGCGCTCCAGTTTAGTCAAGACCATAGACTGTATAAAGAAGAGGACTAAGAGAGTGTGACATCACCCACAGCGTTCAGCTAAATTCAAATGAAACTCACAATGGTAGTAGTCATATGAGCGAATTTGGAGCCATGTCCATGTTAGGAAAAATTATTTATTTACATAGAAAATAGTGAAATAAAAACACCAGGATCATGTAGAGTGGGTTAATACAAACATTTTAAGACCAAAATGACGAGGCTCATTGCAGTAATTACAGAGAGAGAGAGACAACAATTTTCCAATGTAAAGTCAACTGGAAAAAGAGTCAATGGAGCCAGAAGAACGCCCATGAACACTTATTTGAACCACGGCAGCTAGCAGGTTAGGTATGTCCATTATTTTAAACAGTATATGGGCAAGGCATAATCTTAGCATCTGGATTAAAGGGCCATTTCAAAAGGGCTATATTTAAAAAAAAGTAAAATTTATCTTGCCCCAGTACAGATATATTGCAAAAGCAGATTGTAGAGTCAAAATAAGACTGCTGCGTGAAGCATTTTGCAAATCTGGAAGTGTGCTGTTAGCATGCTAGTTGTTTTTTAGCATTATTGTGACTACAAAACTCATCTCTGATCTCTGAAAGATGTGAAAAGCACTTAAACGCATCATGGTGAATAATTGCTATGATTGAAAGGCATTCAAAAAAGTAAGGAATAAGTTTGAACAATTCCTGTTTTTTTTTTTTTCACATTTTAAGACATCCAAAATTAGGTACAGCACCTTATAATCTCTGAAAGTTTCTCTCTCACAATTATTATTCACTTTTCTAAATTGAATTAATTGCTTAAGTGGAATCCTAATGTCTGAGTAGTGCCGTGTGCATGGAGACAGAATAATGTACTTATTTGATTTTAATTTTAGTTCATGTGATGTGCAATTGTTATGTGTGGGTTCAGTCTAAATGCAGTGTTTTCTATAGATATAACGATTTACAGCAAACTTTAGTTTATGTTAATTATGCAAAACAACACTTTATCTGACCTTATTGCCAAGTCAGAGTTAAAGCATCAAGCCAGAAGATGATTTTTCCTGTGCATATTTAAAGACCAATTCTACTGCGTTTTACCAAATCGAACCTTACTTTTTATTACAATTCCAGCTTTGTTTTCTATAACCCCCCTGCCAGTTTAATAATGTATTTGTTACTGTACATGTGCACCACTCTGGATTCATAAAACACGTTTCAAAAGCCGCAAAGCTGAGCCTAGCAAATGACAGCAGCTATGGCATATTGTCCTGGTTGCTGGCCCTTTTTTCTAAGTAGTCTTGAGGGAAGTAGTGGTAACAGTTAAACAGTGAGACGTTGGCTGTCTGCTCAGAGCTGCTCTTTCACAGTTGTCATTGAGGAACTGCTGCAGGTGCCTGTCCCACATTAATCTTTCATATCCACCGAGGAAACTATCAAACATCCTTGGAGGCCCGCGAGGATCCAAAATGGCACCAGACAAGAGCGAGAGACACATTTTGGGAGAGAAGAAGAATGACAAGCTTTCGAGCAAAAACAACTTGGTAAGACCCGCAGTAAAGCACACAATAGAAAGACTCTGGTTTGGCTCTGTGGGTTTAAAATACTGTAGTGGGTTTCTTTGTCAGATGCTTTCTTCACACTTTGTCTTAGCGATGACAGACTTGAGCAAAACTTCAGAACATTATCACTCGTGTTTGTCAAAAAGAATCTGTCAAGAAAGCAGAAAAGTGGTGGTTTTATGGCTTTAGTGACAATGGGTCAGGGACTAAAATAGATATATTTTACGCTACAGTTGCAGGGATAAGAAAATTTGATATGAGAATATGAGATTTTCAGTACTTTGCTAGCTCAGTTTTGCACTCAGAGGCACTATAAATCAATGAGCCACTCATCATTCACACAAACACACACACACGCATTCACTCAAGTAAATGCAAATACCAGATGCAATGTGAGTTAAGTGTCTTGCCCAAGGACACAAGAATAGCATCAAAATGCTGAGCTTTGCCATACTCTATTACCTGAGCTACTGCTGCTATCAACAATGGGAGACTTGGAGTTGTCACTTCATCTGTATTTGAATGTAGTATAAATAAATTAATCAAACAAACTTTATTTATAGAGCCCTTTACAGCAGGTGACAAAAGTACATTGTACTCCACTTTGCCTTGTCGCTTAGCCTGATTCATCAACCGTCTGACCTCGCACCGTTAGAATTTGTTCGCTCGACGTTAGGCAGGTAATTTTTATTTAACCAATCGCTGCTATTTGGTCATGATGTATGTAATGCACCGCTAACGGGGCTAATTGGAATATTAAGCTTTCCCCAACCCCTCCTTGAACCGTCACCTTATCGTGGTGGAGGGGTTTGAGTGCCCAAATGATCCCGGGAGCTATGTTGTCGGGGGCTTCATGCCCCTGGTAGGGTCACCCAAGGCAAACAGGTCCGGGGGGACGGGTCAGACGAAGAACGGTTCAGAAGCCCCTATGATGAGTGTACGAGCAAGGCCAGTTACGTTGCCCGGATTGGCGTCACCGGGGCCTCACCCTGGAGCCAGGCCTGGGGTGGGTGCTCGCCAGCGAGCGCCTGGTGGCCGAGCCTCCCCCCACGGGGCTCGGC